AATGACACATATGAGTAAGACCCTGGAGGGAGTCCATGTCATCTCTATATGTTTATGTATGAGTTATGTAGTATGATAGATATTTCTATGATATATGATATGCTAGTTGACTATTATGTTATTTTCATGGAAGACCCCAGGAGGAGCTCATGACAGTTGGATATAAGACCATGTGGGGGAGCCCATGACATTTCTAGGTAAAGACCATGTGACGGAGCCCATAACATGTAGGTATAAGACCTTGGGAGGAGCCCACGACATCCTTTTATGTTTCTATGCATGGATTACATGGTTTAGGTAGCTTATATAACTAATATGGTATATGTGATTATGTGGATTGTGTGGGGGTATGCTCTGGGGAACTCACTAAGCATTAGCTTACAGTTTTTTGATTTGTTTAAGGTACTTTAGAGCCTAATGGAAAGGAAAAGGTTTGATGGCGCGACATGCACTCTACAACATTTTATATGGGGACACTCTGATATTTGAAATGAAATGTTGATTTTATGGGTTTTAAGAACAGTTGTCATTAAGATTTCATATTTTATGGGAACGTTTTGATTAATTAAAAATGAAAAAAAAATATTTGGAAATTCGGGATGTTACACTTTTTTCGTAATCATGGTGCAAGATGGACCATCTTAGTCCTTGATGAGCTAAGTATGCTATGAAGTCCTCTATGATGCTCCAGATGGAAGAATGTTCCAAAAGATGGTGCATGGTAGAATATGATTGGTTGTCACCATTCATGGGCCTATGGGCCAATGGGCTTGGCTCATTAAGGTTTTAGGTTTTAGGTTTGATTCCTCAAGTATAAATAGGCTAATACCCTCATCATTATAAATTGCTAGATTTCCGTGAGAGGTCAAAGTGAGATACAATTTTGAGTTCTTGTAATAGTTCCAGAAAGTTAATAAAATCCTCTCTCTCTCTCTCTCTCTCTCTCTCTCTCTCTCTCGTTCGCCCGTGGATGTAGGTCACCTTGATTGAACCACGTTAAATATTGTGTTCTTTTGATTTACGTTTTTCAAAAGTTTTTGTGAGTTCACCGAGGTTTGGTTTTTTATATTTTTTTAAAGTGCTTAACTTGTTTTGTTGTCACCCAACAAAAATATGTAAACATAATAATAGTGTTCAAAGATTGAAAAAAAACGATGTGCATAATTCTTATTTTGTCCAAACATTGGATTCCTTCTATGTTTTTGATTTATGATCACTTTAACAAATCCTTAATCTTTCCAGAAACTAGATTTTAGGTTTCCAATTTGAAAACTTAATGGATTTGCAAAGTTCACCATTTGGCATAAAGTTGAATTTTTGTCAATTTTCTATCAAAGAATTATATTTGGCAGATTCACTCACTTTTGAGATTTAAGAATCATTACAGGTTTATTAGTTATTATTAGTCGTGTATATTCTTATTATTATATATGTATAGAGTGTATGTACCTTAGTGTAAATATTGTGTCTAGGTCAAACTCATGTACATTATATATACCCCACGACTGGATCAAGAAAATCGAGGAAAAGATTATGCATTATATTATGGTATCAGAGCTCTCCCTCTGAAAACCTAACCTTACCAGTCATCGTTCCTTCACAGTCTGTATCTTCTTCTCTTTTTTTTTTTGTTCTCTCTTCTCATGCCAGAAAGATTACACTAGTTCTCATGATCACTAATATCCGAAATTTTATTCTGATTACTCTTGAAATGGAAAGCGCTCAATATACTTCATGAGCTGAGTTGTTCAGAATCCATTGTCATGCCTTCCATGTCATTGATCATATCGAACCCAAAGCTGCAATCATCTCCTCCTCCACCATTGATAAAGTCTGTGCTAATAAACTAGCAGATCCCAAACCAATGGATCCTAAACTATGGAATCGATTAGATTTCATTATCATCCAATGGATCAATAATACTATCTCAAATGATCTCCTCCAAACCATTCTAAAACATAAATCTAGTGCAACACGGGCATGGGAGCCCTCGAGAGTATTTTTCAAGACAACTAGAATGAGTGTGCTCTCTACTTGGAACATAAACTAGTCACCACAAAACTTGGAAATTTCGCAAATTGCTTTGTTTACTGTCAGATGTTGAAAAATGATCTTTGATCAACTTTCCAATGTCGGCACCCCTGTTACTAATCAATGACTCGTATTACAACTCATTACTAGTCTTACAGATGCATACAAAGGGATCGTCATGATGATCCATCAAACCAAACATCTTCTAGATTTCTATGAAGCACGATCTCATCTCATCTTGGAGGACAAAAGTATGGCAAATCATGCAACCTAATCCGCTGGTGTAGAAACATCTTCCCTCAATGCTTAGACTCAACACACTTCTTTTCGGATGAGTTTTCGAGGGTATCGCCAGACCGAAAAATAGATTTTATCATTTATTTAGTACATGGAGCGGCTCCTATAGTCTGTACGCCTTATCGTTTTTCCCTATCAGAAATAAGAGAGTTAAAGATGCAATTACAGGAGTTATTAGATCGTGGTTTCATAAGACCCAGTTCATCCCCTTAGGGTTCTCCCATTTTTTTTTGTAAAGAAGAAAGATGGATCAATGCGTATGTGTATCGACTACCGAGTATTGAATAAAATCACAATAAATAATCGATATCAACTACCAAGAATAGATGATTTATTAGATCAATTGCAAGGGGTGACTTTCTTTTCGAAAATTGATCTACAATCGGGGTATATATATATATATATATATATATATATATATATATATTGAGTTTTTTAATAAATAAATATAAGTTTTTTCAAATAAATTTAATATATATAAAAAAGAAAATCTCCAGAAAAATCTTTAAACTTTAATGTTATTAATGAAAAACTTAACATGAGTTTTTTTTTTTTTTTTTTTTTTTTTTTTTTTTTTTTTTTTTTTTTTGAAATTCAACCGTTAAAACCGACATTAACATGGTTCAATGATTCTTTTACAAATGTTTATCGGTTTCAATGGTTAAATTGCAAAAAGAAAAATCATAGGTGACTTTTTTTTAACAGAGTCAAAATATAGAGATTTTTTTTTTTACATATTTCTCTAAAAATATATATAACTAAATTGATCATGAGACATATATATAAAGATTTTATGGAGATTTTATATTTCTAAATATAATATAGTTAATATAAATATGCATGAGTAAAATAATGTTACATCAAACTTAATATTATCTTCTTTAATATGACACTAGGTATGAGACCACACAATAACATGTGACAAAACGAATGAGTGTAACATTTGGAAAATAAAAGATTTTTATTTATTAGGTAGATATATATTCAGTTCTAAATCTATATAGAGTTTAAATTTGAAGTTTTATAAAATTTCCAATTTTATGGTTGTTTGTGAGATTTATTTAAAATATAGTCCTTTTATAATATCTATTAGGAAGAGTTGATATTTTAATATTCCATGTTTGAAAACAATATAATATGTGGTTATTTGGGAGTAGATTAGTTAGTTTGTTATTTAAAAGAAAAATAATATAAAGTATTAAATATAATGAATGTTATAATAAATTATAAAGATTATCTATTAATTAGTGGGAATTTGAATTCATATATATATATATATATATATATATATATATATATATATATATATATATATATATATATATATATATATATATATATATATATATATATATATATATATATTAGTGTTATGTGACATTTAAATTTATGGATACTAAAAAAAACTATAAATTTATATGTGAATGTTATTTATTTAGAAATGATTACAAAATGACATGTTTTCAAAGCTTATGAGAAAATGACATATAACAAAATGATTTAGATTTATTAGAGTAGACTAGTTGTGAGACTCATATATTATATGAGTTAATTTTAAAAAAATATATATAAAGGTCCAAATGTTTGACAACTTTGAATTTATAAGAAAATAAAAAAAAATAATGATTTATTATAATGAAAAAGTTTTTTATTTTTTAAATTTAAACAAATAATTTAAATAAATAATTAATGAGCTTTAATTTTGGGAATTTTGTAATTTAAAGACAAGTTTATTAGTGAAATTAATATCCATTTATTATCATACTAGGTGTAAAACTCGTGTATTACACATGTTGATTAAACAAAAAATTAAATATTAAAATGTAAAAATTAAGTATTTTTTAAAATATAATTTTGAAATAAAAAATGAAGAAACCTATTAATTATAATTATTATCACATTTATTAAATTTAATACTTTATATGTATAAATATATAAGTATTTTGTGGCTTTTTAATTTAAAAATTAAGAAAACCTAAAAGTTGACATGTGAATTTATTTATTTCAAAAATATAATAAACTGATAAGTATTAAAATTAATGAGAGATTGACGTGTATCAAAATGAATATTCATTTATTATAGTTGATTTATTATATTAAAATATTATATGAAATTTAATAAAATAGAAAAACTTATAAAATAGCATGTGGAAAAAATATTAATTTAAAATAATACAAAATAACATTGACAAATTAAATAAGGATGTGACAGATGATAATTTTTTTTTTATTTGTTAGAGATGATTTATTCAAGAAAATTTAAGGGAAAAAAAACAAAAAAAATACAAGACATTTATCAAAATTAAAATAATACATATTTAAGAAGGGGAAAATAATTTATGAGGGTATTAAATCGTTTGATTTAAAAAAAAAAAGTAATAAATAAAAGTTGACGGAGATAGAGGTGGTTAGAGGTGATGTGGCGGTTCTAACTGTTGATTATCATCATAAGTTATTTTAGAAGTCAATATTGTGTTCGATGACTCCATGTCTCCATCTCCTTCAATCGTCGAAGCTTTTGTTTTTAGTGGGTTTCCTTTTTGTTTTGTCCCATAACCCAAAAAAAAAAAAAAAAAAAAAAAAAAAAAACAATTAATTAAAGCAAACACGAAGCAGCTGCATCTCCACCTTGCTAACAAAACAACAAAACAGGCTACGTTCATGACGAATGCATGCAAAACTCAAAAGATTTTTCGTATCAACACCCCCACCAATCACTCATAAGTCATAACGCACCTGCTTCGACTTCATTTCTTAGCCAACAGGTTTCCTCAAATATATAATATAAATACACGCCAAATTTCTAATATTAACTTCACTTATCTTGTGCGAACATCGTCGTCTTTCAGAGTTTAGGCCATGAGGTAAAACAGGAAACAGAGCATTGTGAACTATGGGTACGAACCCTCCGCAGACGAAGACGAAGATAGCTATGAGAAATCGGACACTGAAAGAGCGGTTCCGGTGGAGATTTTTCGTCGGAGAAACAGGGGAAAACGCCGATTGAAGAAAAATGGTTGTAATTTACAGGATCCGTTAGTAGTATGTGGTTGCGATATCATGTTAACGATATTGAGTTTTCTCGACGCACACAGTGTGGCTTCATCACTTGCTGTTTCACGTAGATGGCGTAGAGTCGCTTGCAGTGATACCATTTGGTCTGAAAAGGTATACACACACACACACACTCCTTGTTCTTTACTATCTACTTCCTTTTTTGTTTCTTAAAATGTTACATTTGTTTGCTTTTTGTCAATATGATGATTTTGGTGATGGCTGGTTGGTTTTGTTTATTAAAGAGCTTCTTCTGTATATGACTTCTTTGAATCATATCACAGAATGATCATCATCATGGGTAGGGTAGGAATAGGATCAAAGATTGCGTAAAAGACTTAATTACCCTCTACATTCCTTTCATATAGATCAACAAGCTATGGGCTGACAAAGCTCATCTACCTCGTTTTGCCCTAGTTGAGGGGTTGTCAAAGCTGAATGCTTACACCTTATCCATTCAGGATGGCAAACGGGTAAGTCTCTTTAATATATGTGGTCGTAGGTATAAAGAGACAGGTTCAAGTCATTGTGGATATGACACATACACTTTTATTTTTTAGATATTATATTGACAACATTTGTTCTCTCTTGTCTTGTGTTTTTTACTAGAGTCGAATCGTGAAGGAAGATCTATGTGATCATGCTTGGGAGTTTCACTTTAAAGAGGCATGTGTTTTTAATTCTCGTGTTGCATTATTAAAAGGACTAAATGCAAGAAATAACAACACATTTTTCTTTGTATCTTCTTTATAACTTTTTTTTTTCTTATAAAGGCATAGTACTAATATGCTAAATATCTACGCTATTTGTACTTCTAATTTCTTTTTTCTAGTTAAGAAATTTTACTTTGAACAATATAAAAGTTATAGCAAATGAAAATTACCTTGTAAATTATAGCTATATGATATTGATATAATTCGCTATATTTTCGAAGTAAGATGCTATAAAAAATGAGCATAGGATGTGATAACCAAAAGAAATGCAAGTAGGATGCTATAATAAAGGGCTTAAAACAAGAAATAGCAATGTACTTCTTCTTCCTGGGTTCATTTCTTTTATTGTAATTTTGTTTTTTTTTTCTTATTAAGGCATTTACCTTGAAAAATCCTCCAAATTAAATCGTTGTACTTCCAACTTTAGTTCTTATTAAAGCATGATACTTTCAAAAATATACCTAATTATAGCACTTTGTTGTCTGGTCGGATGATAATATATAACCCTAAGATTTCTTCCATTATTCCAAAATCATATAATTTTATTGTTCAATTGCATTCAGAGTGTGGCGAAATTTGGATCCATATTGGAGAGGAACAAGGCAACCAATGCATCGCTACTTCCATGACGATGGAAGCCAAACTGCGGATGTTGATGATAGGGTATGGGGAGGCAATGAATGTTGTTACTCCATTGTTGCAAGCTTCTTAGCAGATGGAAATATTAGGAAACATTATGTAAGTGTCAACAGTTGGCCAAGATTGTCTATATCAAGGAGGCATGATTGGGGTTGGGAAATGTCAAATCGCTTCTATTTCTACTCGAGTGTTCCCGATGCTTATAAGCCAGGTGGCACTGGTCCTTCTCTTCCTGTTCATTAATTAATTTATGTTTCTTGTTTTATTTACCAAGCTTGTTTGGTGATAGTTTTGAAATAATTTTGATTAGATTTGCTCGTTTTTGCTTTACGTGCGTATTTGGTTTGTGAAAATTTCAATGATTTCTTTTGGAAGATTTCAGGTTGAAAAATATATATTTCCCATTAACGTTGATCTAGAAGACTTATTTGTTGATCTTTATGGATGGTTGTTTTAGGTATTTGAGTAAGATAAAGATTTTACTTGAACTATTTGCATGGTAGATGTTGCAATATGAAATAATCTGAAAGTATAATGTTATAACGAGAAGAAATAAAAAATCAAAATATTAAAGTTACATTGCTATTTCTTCTAGGCCATATGTTTACTTTTAAAATTATAATATTATTTATTGAAATGTTCAAATATAAACCTATTAAATATAAGATAATGTATATGTGCTTCTTTCTTTTGTGGTTACTTTTTATGTAGATACTAGATGAATATCTATGCGTGACGTATAATAAGGTTATATAATTATACTTTTTGCATTAACATTTTGAAAATAATAAGATATCAACTATAAAATAATAACACTTAGGGTGTCGCCAATTGTTAGGATCATCGGAATTGGGGTGTTGCCGGATAATGGGATGTCGCTAGAAATGGGATCACCATAAGTGGGGTTGCCAGAGTGGCGATGACAACTGGTGGTTAGAGATGGTGGTGACCATATAGATTCAAGAGAGGGAGAGGGGAGGAGAAAAGGAGAGAGTTGTGTTGGTTCTTTTTATATGCGTAAATTACACGAATGATCCTTATGGTATAGGGTAATATGCACGTTTGGTCCCTATTTTTTTTTTTTTAATTTTTTTTTTTAACTCGGGCAGTCCTTATTATATATTTTTGTTACGCGTTTGGTCATTGTTCAAGGTAAAAAGACTATATTACCTTTATTAAATATTTTTTACTTTTTCTTTTACTCGTTTTTATATTATTAATATATTAAAAACAACAAATATATATTAAAAATGCCCTGAAAGTGCCGGTTCCAAAAAAAGTCGTCATATGACTCTTCCCCTTCTTCTTTTTCTTCTTCTTCTTCTTCTTCTTCACTTTGTCTGTTCTTCCACCTGCATCGTGTCTACTACCTGCATCTCCTCCCACCTACCGGAAACATCTATATAGCCACTATCGACTGCAAATATCACCCCAGCATCCCCGTACCCTTCCCCTTCTTGTTATATATCTCCAACATTGAAGAACAACCAATAATCCTTTTCCTTTCTTGCCTTTTATCTATCGCCATCTCCTACGCCGCCACCACCGCCCTTCCTTCCTCTCGCCTTTTCACGGTTGCTTACATCTCCCACTTGGTCGATTGCATCTTGAATTGTTGTTTTAGCGAGCCTCAATTACTATCTCTTTGCTTCCATGGATTTGTTTCAGAGGTATTCTTGGAACTCCTCTTCAGAATTTATGAAGTATCTAATCGCCATAGAGTGCTTTCGTTAAAGCTCTTGCTCGAAACTTCCCTCAAGAAAAAAAAAAAAAAACAATTCACAGGTGGGCTTTGATTTGGTGCTACTTTTTTCTTTAAATTGACCCCTGTTTCTTTCTCAAAATTCGATCGACACCAAATATGTCAACTCCTCTCTAAGTCGATCGCAGGTTTCACCTTCTTTCTCTCCACCACCCAAATTAATCTAGTTTTCCTTTTTTTTTTCTCACATTCAATTGACACTTTTGTATCTTCTTGAATCGATAGAAGGTCTCCTTCCCCTTTCTACTTTTCTGTTATGAATCGAAACTCCAGGTCAATAGTAACACAAGAATAGGGGATCAATATGAAAGGGTCAATGGTGGTGATAGGGTGAAAGATGGTGGAAAGGAAGGTGGTGTAGGATCTTCGATGATGGCTGTATAGTGGGTTCTGTTTTGGCTAGATTCAATAAACAAAGGTGGTGCTAAGGTGGATGAAGGATGATTAGTGAGGTGGGAATAGAGATGGAAAAATGTTGTATTGGGTGGTTAGTAGTAAGAGACGGTGGCTGACGAAGGTATTTATTGAGTGGAAGAAAGGTGAAGATGATGATGTTTTTGGGTGGTGAAGATGGTGGGTTCTCGGTGGGAATGGTGGAGGTATAAGGTGAAGAATGATGGTACATGGTGGATGTTTAAGAAAAGACTAGTTGGAAGAGACAATGGGTAGGGTGGGACCATTTTGCATTATCTTTTTGTAACACCTGTTCCAGGAATTTTTTATTCGATTCAAGCTTTTAGGGTTTTAGTGCATGGACTCGGCAAGTTGGGAGTCCAACTCGTCGAGTGGGGGCATTAAATCAAGGATGCATGATCAGGAACTACTCGGCGAGTTAAAAGGCCTGACTCGGCGAGTAGGATCTGTAAGAGGAAACCCTAGTTTTTTTGGTTTACACATTATATAAGGATCATTATCTACCCTTGTGGCCTCCCTTAGCATCTTAATATCTCTGAGAAGAACGTTTTTGGCTGTGAACCTTCTTGTTTGAGAGTGAGAGCCTTTATGAGTAATTCTTGGGGCTTTTTGGGAAGGATTTCAAAGTTTGAAGATGAAGGGTCAAGGGAGAAGAAGTAGATCAAGCATCTACTCTGTTTTAGCCATCTCGTTGAGGTATAAATTCGCTATCTTGAGTTGTAGATTTTAGATCTATTTCTTGGAAGAAAATAGCCATTCTTGAGGCAAAATGGAGTCAAGTTTGTATTTGGACCTATCACATGGATATGGTTCTAGATCTGGACCATCTTAGATCCCCAATATCATAAAGTTGCTTCTTTTATGTAGCTTAACCCCTTCCATGCATTAAAACCTTGTATGAATACTAGTTTTGGTGTTATGGCCTTGTGAGGCCTTGCATGTACGTAAAGTTAGCAACTTTACATGATATATACACTAGGGAAGGTTGGATCTGAAGTTTAGGACCCTAAATTCTACTAGAAAAGGCCGAAAATTTGAAGGACTAAAGGGACTCACTGAGTCCTTTAATCGACTCGACGAGTAGGCCAATGAGTTTTCAGCCAAGGAGTTTATGACCAGGGGTTTGCGGTTGAGGGTTTGAAGCCACAAACAATAAGGAACTCGACGAGTCACCCAAGTGACTCGACGAGTTGGCAAGATAAGCAAGGAACTCAACGAGTGGCTGGTTATACTCGATGAGTCGAAGTCAACATGGAGTGTTTGTTGGATAAGGTGTCTAAGTCCATAACTATTTCTGGTATGTACTTGACCCGACCCGGCATGGTCCATTTGGGTTGCATGGCACCATGCAATTGGATAGACTAAATGAGAGAAATAACACTTGGAGATTATTAATATATTATAAGTTCTAATATATTAATAATATTATTTGATTAGTTTGATCAAGAATTAATTTAGAATTAATTAAGTGATCAAAAGATAACTAATTAAATATATGGGTTGATTATGTAAATCATCCATATCTTGTATAGTGGGCTAAAAGGCTCCATGGACTATCAAGTTGGGTTCCACCCATAGGATGCTCCATGGGAGTTACAAACCCATGGGTCATGGAAATGAAGAGTCATGACACATTAGGGTTCAACCCTAGATGTGTCAACACTATATAAGTAACATGTTCTCCACCCAAAATCGGCTACACTAAGAAATAAGAGGGCTTGGCCGATTTTTAGAAGTGTGTGTTCTCTCATAAGTTCTTCCAAGAGCATTTGGTGTTGTGTGAAGCATTTGAGGCATCACACTTGGGGTGCTAGGCTCACAAGGTTTCAAGGAACACAAACAACAACAAGGTAAGTTATTCTATCTACACTTTAAGTTAAAATTGTTCCCCATGTATGCTAGATAGGAATATAACCTTGGAATTCAACTTTGCATGACAATTAGACAAACATAGATCCAAGGTTATTAGGGTTGCATGTACACTTAGGAAGTGTTAGAATGCTCAAAACCCATCAGTGTTGACCTTAACTGTGGATCTTGACTCTGTCTGGGGTTGACTATGAGGGTATTTATGGGATTGTGCTAAGTTAATTACTTGATGATTACATGCATTTGAGTTGGAACAGTGCATCAGGACTTACTGGGTCTTACCTTGTTAGTCCAGTAGCTAGAGTTTCGTCTTCGGGACTTCAGCAGTGCAAGGTGAGTCTTCTCGCCATACCAATGGGTCTAAGGCACCAAGTCCGACCCATTTTATGATATGCTAGCTAATTATATGATTATGTGGAAGACCTCGGGGGGTTCTCGAGGTAGCAAACTAAGACCATGTGGTGATTCCCATGGTAGTTAGTCATATGTGTTATGTGGTATGCTAGATATTTTGTGATATATGGTATGCTAGTTGACTCTGTGTTGCTTGCATGGAACACCTCGAGGGGTTCCCGAGGCAGGGGGATATAAGACCATGTAGGGGTTCCCATGGAATTCCAGCCTAAGACCATGTAGGGGTTCCCGTGGCAGTGATCTAAGATCATATGGGGATTCCCATGGCATCCGCTGTAAGACCTGATGGGTTTTATACAAAAGAACATCCTATGTGCTCATGCAAAACCTAAAGCTTGGATCTAGGTGTCTCTATTGTACATGCAATTCATCCAAGGCTCAAGAACCCTAATCTAGTATATGCATTTCGAAATTATCACATAAGAGCAGATCTAGATGATTACCTCTTGTGGAATGGCTTGAATCTTCTTGTCTTTGGAGCTTAGAGTCACAAGTGTCACTCCTCTAATGGCTTACAAACACCACAAGCAAGAGGATGACTAAAGAGAAAGAGATGGATCACCAAAACATCCTAGGGTTCTTCCAAAGGAGTTCCACCCGTTTCTGGGGCTATAGGGGTCCTTATATAGTGAGGCAATTAAGGTTATCAGCTAGGAAACCCTAATTTGACTACTTATGCCCTAAGAAACCCATGGACTCCCTTTAGAACAACCATTGGACGAATTCCTTATGGGCTTCCCATAGAATTCGTCAAACCTATGTTCCAAGGTGATCCATATCCCAATTGCAACTATCTTATAATTATAATTCCAGTCCCCTAAGTTTAATTAATGTCTTTTAGTCACAAAACTAATTCTTAATTAATTCTTGAATAATATTAATTAAACGATATGATTTATCCTTTAATATATTATTTATATAATATATTAATAAATCATAAGTAATCATCTTTCTCCATAAATCATCCTACCAAGTTGCTTTGGTGAAGGCAACCCAAAAGGACCATTCACAACCGGGTCAAGTACATACCAAATATAGTTACGGGCTTAGATACTAATCCAATAGTATCCTACTTGGATAAGTATAGTAAGTATAATGTAAGTACAATCCGATTAGAAATCGTAGCTCTCAAAGACGCTATCGAACTCTGATCTTATCAGCAACCTGTCCTTTAGATAAGGGATCACATATTCCTCCATTCTAAATATCGTATAGACAAGAGACATGGATTATAATCATTCTATCAATCTATCTTTTGTTTATTGAGTTCTGATTTATGACGACTGACAACAGACTACAATTGAACACATCAACTCAGTCTCGTCTTGGCCAACCGCTTAAGGTGTCATCATTAAATCATCGAGGGGCCCACATACATCGTTTTTATCCCACTTTAGGTAAAAGGAACGGATAAACTTGGACTCAATGCTTGCTTGTACTCACTCACAGAATCACACACAACAATACGTTTTATAACACCAAGTTACTGGTGCGTTTACATATTATCAATGTGCAACCGACTCACAAGATACAACTCACACATCTCGGTTTTAAGAATAAAAGCTATTACCGTGTCACCAATCACTCGTGATAAAATCAATGAAGCGATCCAAGTGAGTGTGGGTTTAGTCCAATACTATAATCTTATAGTAGCACTCATAAACTTTGTAGTAAACTTGTGCTACGACTAAACACTTTAGTCAATCTACAGACGGATTCATGACATTATTCATTCATACCTACTTCCAAAGTATGAGCGACTGTGGAGGGTTTGAAATATATTATTATTCGGGAAGTCAAAACATGCAAAGTGAAACACATGAATAATACTAATCGTATATGGCCCCAAACTTTTGAGTATAAATAAAAAACTTTTTATTTAATCACCATATTGATTACTCATTATTTGTTGTTTTGGGTAATCAACTTCTTACTTGAATTATAGCAACAATTGTCCCATGCTCTTAGCATGCACACTATGTTTACCTATGGTCCTTACTTTGTGAAATAGTATAATTGAATAACATTTTCAATCACCCTCATTTCACAATTCTCAATCCTTATCACAAGTGTGAGAATACCAAATTCTTGCCACTTATAGAATATTTTAGATTTTAACATTTTATGCAACAGTCCTTTCATAATATGAAGGCGCCAAAGTCACCAAGAATTTGCCAATGAAATTACAAAGTGCTCTATTGGAGATTGTTACAAGACAATTCCATAGTCATGAAGTCTCACATTCAAAGTACATTCCTTTGAACATCCTTCTTGCATAGAAGTTTCTAATCTAGACATTGATTCTCGATATCCAACTCCCAATATGGAAACATTTCCATATTTGCCATATGACAACTCATTCTAAATAGAGTCTTATCTACTCATAATAAAGTCAATATGGTCCATCCATTAGTATACTTCCAACTGTCTACAAGCGGCCAATCTTTGGCGAACGTTAGATTTTCCTTAACAGTTGTTTAATTATTTTAGTCAAATCCGCTACTATTCCCTTTTTCCCTTTAAATGCCCTAGGCATTTGGAAAATTTTAGAACGATCGAATATTACAGCATATTCACTTGATCTTATACCCGAAGCGTGTGAGATTCGATTCATAATGAAAAACGTGATACTTTACCAGTTTCTTGCTATAACATTGCCATAATATTTTTATTTGCCGTGTTCTCAA